GAGGCCAGATTTTACTCGAGACTTCGAAGTTACATTTATTTATTCATATACTTTTCATTAATGGTAGATAATTAAATTGTCGGTGTCATTTGAATGTAAAAATGTATTGCAAAAGAGAACAATGTTTGGACATCGTGCAAACTCGAAGCTTTGAAGCTTCGTAATCAACGGTACGATTCTTATTAGTTATACCTGAACGAAGAAAGTCTATGTACACTCTTTTACGAACGAAATATCGAAGTTTCAGAAACGCGGAAGTATGAGTTCTTTGATGATTTTTCGTCAGAAACTTCGCGATCGATTAGTTCTGTAAACATTCAACCTTTTGAAACTTTTTGAAATAAATTTTTTGAATCGTCGGAAATGAAAATAGTAGCGAGATTGATAGGTTGTAATTCATTTATCAAAGTATAACAAACAATAATTATTTTTCTCGTCTAAATAGACGTGTCTCATTTATGTGGAAGCTTCTCATAAACTTTCTGGTGTTGTTCTTTTAATAAAATATTACCGTAGCCAATGGTGCACAATAATTGATCAGTTCGGTAAATGAATAAAATAGAAATTGTTGCATAACTAAAATGCCGAACAGAATGGAAATTATTTGCGTAACTAGACAGTTCAAATTCACTCGTTCCTCTAAACCTCTGAAACATTTCTTCCCATCATTTCACCAGCAGACTCATAAAATTAGCTAAAAGCATTTTCAAGCCAGGAACCAAGCCATTCAGCCATTCCACAAGCACACGAGAAGTGACAATAAATTTTGAGAATAATTCCACTCAAAATTGTACTTCAACCGATTCAGGAAACAGCCTGAAGTATCGTTCTCTTAGAGATTCCGGTTTTTACATACGTGAAATTAATTCTCTTGTAATACGTTGGCAGGAATGTATCGGACATTATGGAAATTACTTTAAATAAAAATATTTAATTTCAACGGAGTTACTCTTTTTCAAAGTGAACCGCTTAACCCTGGAGCGGTCTTCGTTTTGACTGTACACTTAAGACTTTTGGGTGGAAAAGGACCTAAGACCTTGTGTGCAATAATTTTTGTTTCCAACGCGACATACGAACCTAGACAGTGAACGTTTAAAATAATGTTAAGGAACGTAAACTCGATAACAGCAAAAATGACTAAAAATATAAAAAGGCGGTGGGTCAAAAAAGACCCGAAGACCGCTCTAGGGTTAAAATCGCGGGAACTTGCAAGGTAACCTAAAATGCGTTAGATATTTTTCAGAATATTTTCGAACCACTAGATAAGGAAAATGGAGCAAAACCGGATAATCCGAAGTTTCCCTGTTACTATACCGCCCCGGTCGAGATAGAGGGTTGAAAGTTGGTGTCAAATGTTTTCTTTCGGTAAAGCTATGAAATGGTTCATCGTAAGACCAGTTTCTTTAGATACGGATTAATGAAACATAAGTGTAGGCCTAAACTCTAGTAATCTACGCGTTAAATAAACGTATGAGGTATTTATTACAACGACTATAGTCGTTGTTAGTATCGAAAGGGTTAAGAAGGAGAATTGTGTTTCGAAGATATGTAACACAAGTGTCTTTTCCCCACTCGGCTTTAATGTGTGCGACATCACTGGCCCGCGATTTCGTCCTCAGCTTTGCCCGCGGGCAACGACGGGCGCCCTTGCCCGCCTGAAGGGCTGTTCAACAGTACTGCCTTATTTTAACACCTACTTAAAATTGATAACTTACGATTTTCAAAGTACCCTATTCTTTATCTAGATATTTTTCGAAATACACTCTGTCCAATGTAAGAATAACCTCGCTCTCGGACCGATTCTCGTCCGTTCTGCGCATAGACAGAGAGCGTAGCAGAGGGTAAGACGGAGGAAAACGTAGGCGGTTAAGTGGGGGGTTGGACGTTCTAGCCCTGCCTTAGGCACGTCCCATGCGCGAAGCGAGGTTATTCTTAAATTGGACAGAGTATAGACCGCTTTGTTTCTTTACGTATCGAACGACCCATTTGAGAATATATTTGAAACTTTATCGTCACCTCTCGCAAAGCAGCAGCGCGCGAAGCAGCGTTACTTTCACGTTCCAGATCAGCTAAAGAAGCGAAAAAGTTTGTTGAAAATATCTGTTTGCAATACCAATAAGTGTTTGCCGGTCGGTGGCAACGGTGGCTTGAGTAACGCGACGTCTGTGAGATCGGGACATGCGTTTGTCTGCACCAGTGGCGGTTCAGGTGGTGATGGGACCGCCTCGATAGGTTCGTGGTACCGTGGCGGCTGTACACTCTCCACGGGGATGCTTGGACCCAGTATCAAGCTGGCTATCACCTCGCAGCAGCCGCAGAAGAACTCTGAGAGGCCTTGTCGCAGGCCTCGATGCAGACCCAGGAAGAGCACGGGGTTCACGAACGCGTGAACGTACGCGATATGTAGAGTCACCTGGAATTTTCATTATTGCAACCTGCGTTACTTTTCGTATTTGGAAGTGATTCGCGCGTATTCATACGTCGAATGAACTTTGAATTGTGTCGGAAGGAAACTTTATTTTAATGCATTTATCAGGTTTTATTTGGAAAGAGTATAAACCAAGGTTTATTGTGGCACAGTGTTTTTTTATCGAATGTTGGTTAATTTGTACATTCAATCACGTTCTTAATCCTTTCTACTCGAGTAATATTTCAACATTTCAACATAAACATAATTTGTCACGGAAAATTTATGTTTTTTCCTGAGGAAACGAAATATTAGATTTTATCATTTAAACATTACTTTATCTAATTTTACATTTTATAATTTTTTGAAATGTCAGCTGCCAAAATGAATGCTCGTGGGAGCGCAACTGGCATTTCGAGTGTGCAGGGTTAATTTGGTAGGAGAAATGAGAAGAAGTCCATTTGTTGGTTTACTAGTCTGCGCTGAGCCAGTGTACGAGTTTTGCCAGCGTGATCTACAGCTAAAAATCAAACTAAAATGTCACAAAAAAAAGTCTATACATGCTTTGTTAAAAAGTTATAACAAAAATATGAAATGATAAGGAGGACACGAAAATGCATTTTCTCTTAATTGTATTTAATTTTACATCTCTAGATTTCTACTTATGGGGGACTCTAAAAGAAAAAAAGATTGCGCTATGGAAGTATGTACTCGAAATGAATTAATCGAGAAAACATTGCATTGAACGAAATTAGACAAAATTGGCGACGAAATTCGGCTTACAGTAAATTCAGTATTACGTCAATCTCAGAATTGTATCGATAAATATCGGTGATATCTGTGAAGTGCAAATGTTTAAGTCGAGAAAATAATTACCATACCATAACTTTTTTGTATTAAGGCTATACCAACAGTCATGGTCTCTGATCGCAAGGGGCACTTGTGACAATTTATGTGCTCGATACTGCATTTAAGTTCGCTTCTTTCGCCCAACGAATACAGTTTAAGGATCGATTGTTGTCAGCTGCAGCATACTGTAACTTTTTAGTTGATATATCACCACTTTCTTCAGTGAAAGGTTGCAAATGCGATTTATACATAATAGAGCTTCAACGTACTTTATGCTCCTTGTAAGACAGTATTTTCTTGAAAGGTGGATAGGATGGAGCGTCTGCGGTCATCCTATTTGAATTCTTTCTTTTTTCTTTTATGAATTTATATTGAAAACTTACTGCACTCGGTTTGATCGAAACTGCTTGTAAATTCATTTGTGGAAAAGTAAATCGCTTCTGTGTGTTACAATGTAGATTTTGAATCTCCGTTTACTCAGCATTTTTGTTATTAAAAGTAGTACTCGAGTAACATTTTAACATTCCCTTCTACCAACTCGATAATTACTCGATAAGTTGACGAATTTTATATTTTTCAACGGTGAATTTGAAAAATAATAAATAATTTTGTATTTTTCAAATTTCGTTCTTGAAAAATACAAGATCCTTCAGTTTACGCTGTTCCTCTGTCTTTAATCGTTTTCGAGATATTAGACCAAATATGTTTATTAATGCGGACGACTGTTTCAAATATTTCGTCAAGTTTCGTCAATACCGGTGATTATCACTTCAGGAAATATAATTTAAATCATACGGTACTTTCTTTACGAACATAATAGACGTCCTGATACTTCCGAACGACAGTGTAGGTACGTCAGTTTATTTGTAAAACGTGTCAGACGGTTAAAGAAAGGAGACACCGCTGCCAGGAAGTTCAGCATTCGGTAACTTTTTAGCGATCTACCGCAGTTTCGTCAGAACACGGAAGCAACCTTTCAGATTTTTCCCTCGAATCTCACACGCGAAATGGAACAAGCTGAAAGGAAGATTCATCGTAAATTTTCTTCAGAAAAACGACACTCTATTGAGGGAACGTCAAAGACTCCTCGATTCTTCCTGTTTCTTAACAAACTCCGCGCCGTTTTCATTCGCGTCTCGCGCTAATTAATCCCTTTAATCTTTGAAAAGCGTTACAACGTTGGCGCAGATAGAGAGAGGAAACGTGTGAAAAAGACGCGAGACGAGGCACACGGAGCCAGAAGGTGAAGCTTGAATCCGCATTGTGCATCAGGAAGCGAAATCGCAGCGAGTGAAGGCGCATCCGGCGCCTCTGAATGGCGTCACGCCGCTCAGAAGAGCTTCTCTGCTGATGCTGAATAGATTTGCAAGAAGCATCGCTCTTCCTTGTTTTTATGGGTCGGTAGATTTTTTTTCTGGTAATCTCGCAATCGTTTCTTTTTCGAAATTTCGCGAAGGAAACGAGGTTTCTCGCGATACCTCACGTTTCGTTTGAACTCACGGCTTTTCCATTCCTCATGCTCTAATGACGGGTCCAACTCGTCGTAAGCTTTCTATGCTAAAGTAAGTAAATACGCAATGATGAGCTGCTCTCGCCACGAATTTTTAAGTATTTTAACCAAGAAGAATATGAAATAGAAAGTTAGCGTAATAGATACTTTTACACATTTGTTTGTATGAGTCTATTAACAGTTTATGTTACATTTTTGAAAATTTAGGAGCTATGCCACGATCGTAGCGTTGTGAGATATTTAGGCTTTTATGAAAAGGGGTGTTTCAATAGAAATTGGGTAATTAACCCTTTGACAGTCTAATAAAATTATGAATTACGGTGAAAAAAAATTTTAATTTTACGCGTATCTTTTTAATAGCTACGCCGTGTGTGATCATTTTTAAAACACCCTACGTTATAGTTATGATAATAATATCTCGACCTTTCTTACTTTCTTCCTTAGAGTCTTTCTTGAGTTAAACAGTTAGATATTTGACGCTCTGCCCAAGTCTCACACGGGATAAACTATCGAAAGGTTAAGACTACCATTTCTTTGTTTAAACTTATTAATATGGAGGTAGTCTATTTGGGAAAGTGGCAATTTTCTATTTTATTTTCTGTATGCTTAAATCTCAAAATTGGATTAAAAACGAAGCTTCACAAAAACTGTTCGAATTACAAAAAATTTTACTTGGGACTACTTTACTTGACAAAACGAGAAATTTTAAAGTCTATTTTTCAACATTTCGTGGCATAGCTCCCTTCGGAAGAACCGAAAGTGTAAGTTTCTAAGTTCACCATTGTTTTATGGAATTGAGAAAAATGAAGTTATATGTCTCGGTACGTTTGCCCGCAAAAAATTGCAGCCAAAAAGGTTAATACAGTTTCAGCTATGGAAACAATTGTTTCCTTGCGTCCAATTTTGTTTTTTGCGTTTCAACGTTTCGCCAGCATTGCAGTTAGCTTTTATTTCTAAACTGTTCTTCTTTTCCAAACTGAGCTCATCAGTCTGATTTTAAACGAAACAACCGCGTTTATTGCACACCGGATCGATTACGAATTACTCCTGTTGTTTCTTGAAATTAATTCGAGCAGGGAGATAAAAAGCGATGAGAAATTTCATTGTTTATGCATTCCCATTCGTCGTTTGCGTTGTGCTTCAACAATCTGATTCGGGGTCAAGTAATTCCTGGAAGAGCTAGGGTCTCGTTAATTCAACACAGCCCGAATTAACGCCACCTCTACTCTATATCGAACTGCAAAAATTTCGGATTTTAAATCATCGATATTTCCTTCCATATTACATTCGAAATGTGTTCAAATTAACGCGGTCGACTTCGTAAATCTCCTAATTTCTTTCAATTTTCTTTCACAGATGAAGTATAAATATATCCTTCTTAGTTAAAATGCTTCGTTACTTAAAAATTTCTGACAAATGCAGCTCGTCACTGCGTACTTTGACACAGAAAGCTTATAACAAGTTGAATTCGTCGTTTCGGTAGAAGAGGTTACTTCAACAATAGTAACAATGTAAAATCCGACTACAAGGTCAATTCTGGAAATAATGATATAAAAATAATATGAAACAAGAAGAAAAATATTCTTGTATTTTTAACACTTTACCGACCGGTAGCGGTTGAACATCCTTCGCACTTCCGATCGCTCACTCGGTCACAGATATAATACATCGCTGACACCGGCTCTGTTTAGACTCTAGGCTATCGCGCGGGAATATACGCGCTTTTTCTTATACGTATAGAAATGTTAAATCAAACTTTGACCGATTAATAGGCTATCGGTCGGTAAGCGTCGGCGGCAAAAAAGCGATTAATAGGCTACCGGTCGGTAAGCGTTGGCGGCAAAAAGTCGATTAATAGGCTACCGGTCGGTAAAGTGTTAAATTTAACATGGAAAAATTGCGTTTCATTTGATTTAAAGCCTATTCAGGAATAAAAGAAAAGAAGCTTCGTGTAAAAGCTATCAGAAGCGGCAAGGAGTATACAAAAATAATAAAAAGCTGAGGAAAAAGGAATAACTCTGGCCTAGTACCATCGACATAAAGACAAATATAAAAGCTAAGAGAAGCAACAGAGAATAACACGTTGCCTCGGTATCATAAACCTAGCTCCGTAAGAGTTTATCGTGCAGTTGGTCCATTTCTGGTTACCTCGTAGCCAGTTGGATTCCCTATGATGGGATGATCCACCAGGGTGACGAAGAACAGTGGTCCCCAGAGGATCCCGTACGCGGCCGTGATCACCAGGAACATCTTCACCCTCTGCACGCCTTCCCTCTCCATCCTCTTTAAGTAGTTCCTCATTTTCTGGTGCTCCTCTGCCGCTGCGCTTCTCTAAAGGCAATACTTCCTTTTTAGCGAATCGACAAGAAGGAAATATCGCGGTGAGACACGCCGTTTCTCTTCACTTCGACCGTCTCTAGTCGAACGACTCGCGAGCGTATTGCGTTGTTCGGATGGTTCGTAGAGAAATTTAGGAAAAATTCAAACCGACGTATCTCTGTCCTTATTTAACCCTCGGAAGGCGAATTGTTTTAGACGGACGCGGGAGACGAATTCAGGGTCATTTTGACCCATAGCAAAATTTCTATTGTACACTGGTTTCAAGAAGGAATTGTGTATAAATATGCATACTTTTCTTGTTTATTTACATTTGATACGTAAAATAGGTGTATTTCCTAATCTGAGTCGCCTGACTTTATCGCTGTTGAGTCAAAATGACCATAATATTTGGACGACCACGTTTGTTTATGTCAGACCGATAAGGAAGTGAGCGTGCCTCGAAAGATGCATTTAACCCTCGAAAACAGCGACGCGGCACGCTAACACCGGCTCTCTTTTGACCCATACTGAAATCTTTACTGTGTGTATTTCAGAACTAATCTTTAGATAATGAATATCATCTTATAACAAAAAATCCTGGAACAAAAAATGTGAATGTTTCATAAATATATTATTTATTTTGTTTACGTACATTGTTTACATAAAATTGTATTTTTCCTTATTTTTTCTTAAGGAATCACCTCATGCCCACTTGTACGTGTCATCGGGCCGGATCCTGTACAGCAATATAAATCAATCACTCGAAATAAAGCAAAAGTTTACCTGGGTCCAAATAGACCCAGGCGTAGTCCCATGCATAAGTCGCCCGACGGCTCGCTGTTCGAACGTTGAGATAGAGACAAAACCCAAGTGGTATTTTTCTCTTTAGTTGAAAACGAACACAGTGAAGCGTTAGAAAATATAGTTCGATTTATATTCATTCACTTTACGAAGAATTCGAGGAGTGCGTCCCATTCGTTTTCAACCAGCGAGTAAAATACCTTTTGGCTTTTGTCGCTATCTCAGTTAGAAGCAGAGATGCGGTGGTTTGAATTGGTCCTAAATTTCGCTACGAACTTCCCGAACCACCCGATATTTCACGCGTATTTCCAGATGGCACTGATAATGAGGTGCCTCGCGGTCGCGAAACACGCAAACGAGGCTTCGAGAAGAAATGAATTGGTCGCGCGTGAAACACAACGAGATTTTGATCTTCGAGGAGGAGCGAGATTGTGGGGTCCAATTGTTCCCTTCCCGTTGAGTACCAGGTGAATGAGCTCGTTGTGATAATTGTTGTGTTCAAGGTAACTACTTGTTCTGTTTGTTTTTTTTTAAGTAAGTGACAGAATTGCTTCCCCTTTTTTCTTTTCTTTTTTAATTTGTAAAGCAGGAATTTTGGGAATCTTAAGTTGGTGAACACGGTACTCCGAAATGGCTCTTTTTGTTGTTTTTTTTTAGACGTCATTTCGTTTTTGTTAGAATTTTAATGCAGGTACTGCTTAAGCGAGGGAAGAAAATTAATCCACAGTTAACAAAGTAACCTATTCTTTAATATGATGAATAAAAATAACGAGATACACCGGATCGCACGTCTGTTGCCACTTTTTACACGTTTCGCCTTCGGGGAGAGAGGAAAAACTCCGACCCACCGGAAATCGGTAGATCCCTATTGGTGCGCGCAGTTCTCATCGATCGCGATTATACAAAAAGGCTTATTTCCAACGGTTTTCAATCTGTAAAGCAAGAATTGTAGGAATTCTGAGTTAGTAACAGGAATTGAAAATTGGTGAAAATGGTATTCCGAAGTGGTTCTTCTTCGTGTTCTTTAAATGCAGTTATTGTTTTCAATTTAACACTTTGCTGCCGGGCTATTTTTCGCGCGTCTTACATCTGTAGCTGGCAAACCCGAGCAAATTCACAAAGTGAAAAAATCAAAATCAATTTCATCTTCTTCCGAGTCACTACTAGATTGCGATTTTTCACAGGCACAATGTCGCTATCTTCTGAGTAATAACTGTCCGAAAACTCACTATCGTTGCAAGAATAATCTGACGATCTATCGGCAAATATTTCGTTTTCATCTCTTTCAATATCACTCAAATCCATTTCGCCAATGGATAAATTTATGAAAACACGGTGAGAACTCCGTCTTTTTGTGGGATTCGAGAGAGAATGAGCGTGAGTCGTACGAGACTCGCCCTGACGAGTCTCCCGCTGTCGAGCGTCAGTATGCTTCGGACTAGAAAACTAGTCTCCCGACAGCAAAGTGTTAACAGAGCAAGAATTTTTAGGAATTTTTTTGTATTTCCAAATGGTTCTTCTTTTCTCTGCGAAAATATCATTTCGTAATCTTTCTATTTTCACTGTGCGATTTTGCGTTGGTAAAACGAGCTATTTCTACGTGTGCCAGGTATCATCACTCAAATCCATTTCGCCAATGGATAAATTTATGAAAACACGGTGAGAACTCCGTCTTTTTGTAGGATTCGAGAGAGAATGAGCGTGAGTCGTACGAGACTCGCCCTGACGAGTCTCCCGCTGTCGAGCGTCAGTATGCTCGGACTAGAAAACTAGTCTCCCGACAGCAAAGTGTTAACAGAGCAAGAATTTTTAGGAATTTTTTTGTATTTCCAAATGGTTCTTCTTTTCTCTGCGAAAATATCATTTCGTAATCTTTCTATTTTCACTGTGCGATTTTGCGTTGGTAAAACGAGCTATTTCTACGTGTGCCAGGTATCTTCACCTAACGGAAAATTAACTTGCTAGTTATTAGACATTCTAAGTCGTTCTGAGTCGTTTAGAATTCTTTCTCTTCCCTTTACAATCTCTGATGATTTGCTTTTCTACAAGAGAGAAAATCATGTGCTAAGTGGATTTCTTGCTTGCAATCCCTTTTTCTTCTTTACGAAGGCCTAAGTTTTAGATGCAAATTTCTACACCGTCAAATTATTCGTATTTTCCTTTTATTTCTCATCAGGTACATTCTTAAATCATTCTTACGAATTTCCACACTAATAGCTGTCGTTCCAATTCAAATTTCCAATTGTTGTTTTACGTTAATTGCTAGAAAATGATAAATAAATAAACGGATAAATTGTGTGTATTTGTTACGAGTTACGTTCTTGAAATCAAGAGTGCGATCTACGATAATTAAAAATACAAAAATGATTTAATATAATTGGACGTGTATTAATAACCAAGTAAAATCCCTGAATAATTGTTGCAAAGATTCCCGTTTTGATAGAACGAAAATATCGAAAGGTAGATTCATAGTGAATTGTTTGTGGTGTATTATTACCTTGGGCGTGCCACCGTTCGCAGATGCGGCAGAATTTTCAGGAACCGCGTTCGTTTGTTGGTTACCCGTTGTATTCACGAAAATCGTTAGTAGTGCTACCTTTACCTGATACAAAAATCGATTATGTCAAATAGAAGATTCGATAACTCCTTGTCGATGCAATTTACATAAATTCCTGTTTGTGTGTTTTCCACTTTTTTTTTTTTTTTAGCTAAATTCCTGAAATAAATTCGTATACAGGGTGGGCCACATAAAACAGGCCACCTAATTATCTTCTTTAGCTATGGTGGTGCGAGGCAATTTTTATGCTTAATTTAAATAGTTTCAAATAGTGAATAAGATGGAAGACAATCTTTTGAATGGAAGAAGTGGCAAAAAATGAAAGGAAGGTTTACATTTGATTTAAAGTTTTGGAGTCTAAGGTTGTTTTAAGGCCATGTTATGTATGTTAAAAAGCACACATTTGTGTAAAAAAAAAAAATAGGTGAATAGAACAGAAAAACTTATAAAAAATTTTTCTTCCATTCACACTTTGGAACCATTTAAATCAGGTATAAAAATTTTCTCGCGCTATCATTGCTAGAAAAGATAAATAGGTGGCCTGTTTTACGCCGCTGTTTGCCACCCTGTATAATGCGATAAATAGCAATGAATTTTTTACAAATGCAATTAAATAAAACTTGTAATGTTGCGTTCTATTTTCATTTTGAAAAGTTTGACATAAAAAGTTTCGATTTCATTCGTTTGGTAAATGTTACAAAAATTTCTACCTTGTACCAAAAGCTTTTATTTCAATTCTTGAGGATTCTGACAGAAGTGAATGCTAATTAATTTTTTAATTTATGTACGGAAGTTCTACTTTAATGTTTAATGCTCTGTTAACTCTGTAGTACTGTTGAAACAGTACTACAGAGAAAAAGTAAGGGAAGTTCTGGTTTCATTTTTTGAAGCATCGTCAGAGATTCAGTTAATCATACTAAGTGCACGCTGCTATTGATCGAAGGATATTTGTATTAATAATACTAGTTTACAATTTCACGACTACTAAGCGGGCTAGCAAATTTGTGGAACGAAATGAACACTGTATTAATTACGGCCTAATCACTCGCTGTCGCGGCTGGAGTTTGCGTTGGCAGAGTAAACTAACTGATAAATCTCGGGAAACAGTGTTTTAGTAATAGATTGGTTCGTTCCCAGATCTATTGCGGGTTTCTTTGCATTTTTCATGTAATTAACATTTTGCTGGTCGTATATTGTCAGTTATCGTTGGTACAAATGACTTATGGCCATTTTTTTTTTCTTGTAAAATGTGCAGTGAACCTGTTAATGGAATGTCACAGTTTGTATGTTGCATGCAAAACGAAGGCAGAAATTTTTTAGTACAATTATGTATTGTATTGTGATGTTGCAATCCGTGTTGTACAGGAAATTAGAAATTACGGAAGTATTGTGTAGTGTGGTTAAGAATACAAGAGTATGGGAATATAATGGTGAAACAATTTGAGAATTTTGAGATTTGGGAATTTAGAAATTGGAAAGTTGGGAAATTTGAAATTTACCAATTCAAGGGAATTACCAGGGATTTGAGATTTCAGAAATTTAGGAACTTGGGAATTCAAGAATTTAAGAATCCAGGAATGTTGAGATTTTAAGAATGTGTGAATTTAGGAATTCAAGAGAATTGCGATTGCTGAAACTCTGGATTTTCGGAATTTACGTGTTCGGGAATTGGGAATTCAGGAATCCAGGAAATTAGGATATTATGTATTCAAGAATTTAAGAATTTTTAAACTTAGGAACATAACAATTTCAAAATGTTTAAATTTAGGAATTCAAGAGTTTAGGAATTTAGGAATTTCAGAATTTCAAGAATTCAGATATCTAGTGATACAGGAATGCATTTTATGAAACATAAAAGTACCAAGATATATAGGACTTTTAACTTCCATGAAAAAAGTACACATATTGTAACTTATTATACATTAATTAGGTTAACGTACTAAATCAAATTCACGAATTTTTTTATCGTTATACGTGCCATTCGGAAGCCAAAGTGGTTAACTCCACTTTTTGAATTTTTTAACATATTATTGCCAAACCTTGATCGATGCTTACCTTTTTATATTTAAAATGAACTTCCTTAATAATTAGGTTTAACACCTCTAAATGACAAAAATTTTCATAGTCCTTGAATAATAAGTAATTTATTTTAGGAACCAATATGATCAACTCCATACACTAAAGTAAATCGTTGTAATAATGTAATTCAAACGTAAATAATGTAATTTTTCAATGCAACAGTATAAAAAATATTAATATAATTACATAATTTCATCAATTTTCTCTATTTCGTGGAGTTAACCGATTTGGCAAATGAGCGGCTCGTACCTTTCACAAATAATCTCGTTTTCACGCTGAATGCAACAAACTATGTTTCAAACACGTTTCGAATTCCTGCTTATCCCCAAAGTTTCATCAAAATCAGCGGGCAACGCTTCATATCGTTCCTCTGTGACTCGATGGAGTCATAAAAGATATGCAAGATGAATGACAGGAAGTGTGAGAGAGATAGAGAGAGCCTAAACGTGCAATGCTAGTGACAGTGGATTCTCTGTAGTCAAACATGATTTGTACCCAATGCGTCAAGTACTGTATCTTTGTGATATATGGTTTCGAAAGTATCCTCGACAACAAAGAGAAGCAAGAAAAGAAACACGAAGGGTTTTCTTCCATTCGTTTATCAAGATTATTTCCAAATTATGCGTATATCATTGAAACAGTATTGAAGCTAGGATTTAAAAAATTTGAATAACCTACTAAAATGAATCTCTATTTGTTTTCTCTTTCTAAAATATAATTTTGTGTCAGATTTCAGTTTAAACTTACATTTTTATCAGCAGTATTTTAAGCTTGCTTGTTTTTGAATCTGTGAACCAGAAATTTTGGGAATTTTGATTTAGCGA